TCCCCCCCTCACTGTCACCAACAATCTCCCAATCCCCCCCCGACCTGCCGGCCCCTCCCCTGGGACAGCCGGGCTTGGCCTCACCGTGAGCGGCTGCCCCAGCTCCAGCAGCGCTGCTGTGATGTAAGCCGAGAGAGAGAGCTCGTCCACCACGCCGCCCTGAGGAGGATGGAGACACCGGGAGCTGGCTCAGACCGAGCTGCGGGTCACATTGCCAGGATGAGGTGAGCCGCTGCCCAGGACAAGCCCATTGGGACAGAGAAGACCCGGCTCCAGCACTCCGAGGGGCTGGGTTTGGGTCTTGCCGCCTGCTGGGACCTGTCAGGCCCATCTGGGTCCCAAACAGCTGCCCCAAGTCATAGCAGCCAGGGAGGCCACAGGGTGGCAGTGAGTTCCACAGCTTTGTTATAGGGAGAGGCGGTGGCTGCTCCATTGTCAAGGCTGTATAAAATTTCAGTATAAAATCCTATCTGAGCCCCCCTGGAACCAGAGGCTGGGAAGTTGATTTGAACTGACATTTGCCAGATTTCCTGTGAAGACCAGGGGCCGTTTCTGCAGAGGCTGAGGGATTCGCCCCCGCGGAGCGAGTTCCTGCTCATTAAATAGTCCTCCCGTGTGGGAATCTGGACTTTGCCTAAGATTTGTCTCCTTCTAGCTCCTGACTAGGAGGGGCCCGCTAGCCCTTCCCTCCCGCACGACGCTGAGACTCAGAGATTCCAGGGGTTGGTTTGAATAGGGGGATGGAGTACAGCCCTGGCCCCTCCCGTAGAGTACCAGCTCCCTGAAAACTCCGGGGCAGTGGCAGGAATTAGGCTGTGAATCGAGTTGGGTGGGAATTTCCTGCTGAAATGATTTCTCTACAGACGATGCAGTTTCCACAAAACCAAAACTTTGAGGGAAAACTTTACTTTTGCTGAAACGTTTCGATTTCCGTTGGGAAAAAAGAAACACAACATTCTGCTGTGGGGCGGTGGGGCCCAAATCGCAGCCTCTCGGGTTGGCGACCTGAATCTATACCTTCCACTGCAAACGGTTCAACATTCAGCTGCACCGGCCTCATGACCCCATTCCCCCATGGATTTGGTTCTGTTGGACTATGATGCACCGCTACCGCCTTACTGACTGAGCCGCATGGGGAGTTGTGGGAGTCACCCTCAGGCTCTCCGTGCCAGGCAATGGGTGCGGGGTCTGCTCAGTGCCCGCAGGGAGACCGGGCTGTGCAGGAGCCA